AAAAAAACCAAACTTTACTCAAATAACACAGATATCTATAAATAAATTGTAAATATGTAATTGCCCTATTATAATGAGCTTCAGTACAAATATCAGTTTAAGTAACTTTCATAGTACATACGGGACACACTTTAATAGTGCAACAAACATAATATATAAAATTTACAAAATAATTACATAGGTCAAATAGATCCATTTCAGTATGTCCACAAAGTATTCCCAAGTTTGCTGAACACAAGGCAAATTGTTTCTAAGTTTGATGTATTCAAAGTGAACAATATTCCCAAGTTTGTGGAACACTACATGAATATTTGTCGAAAACTTTGTGGACATACTGAAATTGATCTATTTGACCTATGAAATTATTTTGTAAATTTTATATATTATGTTTGTACTAATATATATATATATTATGTATGTACTATGAAAGTTACTTAAACTGATATTTGTACTGAAGCTCATTATAATAGGACAATTACATATTTACAATCACTTTACTTTAGGCAGTATTTTATAAAGTCAAGACTTCCAGGTTTTTAACTGTTTTGATCAATGTTTTAATTGGATTGTTTATGTTTTTAAACTTTCACATTGCTTTAGCTGTGTTTTATTTCAACTTACATTGCAAAAACCATCTTGGGTTCCATATACAAAGGGTGTCTGAAAATTATCTATTGCATATACAATTGAAACGGTAAAGATAATTTTGACACTTTGTTAATTATTATTACCATTATTGTTGTTATTGTTTTGCATTGTATGGCATTGCCGTTCTCTTCACTCAGGATTCTCCCTATTTTCGTCCTGGTTTGTGCAACAATGTAATTAAAAACTGTCTCTCTAGAAGTACTATCCTCTCTACAAACTACATTATATATTTTTCTCCCTTTTCAAATCTCAGACAGTAGACATTCTTGTAGTTTTATTGCATTGTATTCTAGGCCTCCTACTGCATTTTTCCTCTAGCTAGCTCTACACTGCCCTATATTCCAGGATCTTATCCCAGGTTATCTACTTTGAACTGGCTGCCCTTCCACACAGCCCTATATCCCAGAATATCAAGGCAGACAATCCCACAATATCTGCTTTGAACTGGGTTATCTGAGTTATCTGCCTTAATATTTTGGGATATAGGGCTGTGTGGAAGGGCCCTTAGATTTGAAAATTATCCTGGGATGTAGGAGAGTGTTGATCCAGCCTCTGATCTCTAGATTCAATACAAGAATCTACTGCTTATCACCTCTCATTGAAATAGCACATGCATTATTTAAAACAGAGATTAACAATTCTGCCTGCCTGCCTGCTGTCAGACCTTAGCATATAGTATCCCTAGCCAGCATTAGCAACGGGGCAGAATTTTTAAAATCTGAAACGCCTGGAAGTTGCAGTTGTCCACATAGCTCTTAATTCTCTACTTGTATTTTTTTCTTTTCCACCAAGTGTCAAAACTGTATTTAAAAGACATCATTAAATACATCATTAGGCTTTTCCCATAGCATAAGGTGATGGTGCTCCATGCAGTTATGCTAGCTACATGACCTTGGAGGTATCTACAGACAACACCGGCTCTTTGACTTAGAAATGGAGATGAGCACCACCCTAGAGAGTTGGACATGACTAGACTAGACTTAATGTCAGGGGAAACCTTTACCTAAGGTGACATGACTCAGTAGAAAAGACAATAATCCATGGTAAACCTGATGGCAGTGGGAAAAGAGGGGGACCATATTATAGGGTACCATCTCAATCAGTGAAGCCACAGGCTAGGTTTGTGAGATTTGAGCAGGGCAGTTAATATCAGGGTCTATTGGAGCTCTCTCATTACAGAGTTGCCACTGACAAGACTGATTTAATGGCATGTAACAACAAAGATTGTCATTTATGTCATGTTTTGTCTTTTAAGCATTCTTAAGCTTTTGTATACATCTGTAATGCTGATATATATCCACTTGGTTTTGTTTTAAAGTATGGATATAAATATCTCATTCCAATTCCTTGTCTTGCAAACTGGCTTTGCCTTGCAAATTGGCATAAATCACACCAAATCTGAACATATTCTTTGATTTCTTCCTTTCAATTTCAAATGCAGTGCTGTACCAGAGCATGGCAAAATTGCAGATGAGGAGAAAGAGTTGGTTGCAGAAGATGAAGCGGTAATGTAAACATGATGTTCTAGTGAATTAAAATGATATTGAAATTGAACTGAGGAGCTTACTGGTGTAATTGGATATTTTTATATGAACATACATTTACATATTAATAGGGTGAGGAGAGATAGAGAGTCTCAATGGGGGGTATTTTAATGTGTTGTAAATATTAAAGATGTGGCAGATGCGAAGTACAAATGGGAAGTACATTCTGCCGATTCTATCTTCACTCAGGAATGTTATTACATGTGCACTAGTAATTCTTTTATAATATTGAATAAACTGAGCAGCTAAAAGACATCAGTTCGAGTAAAGATAATGAAGCAGACATAGCACCACCTGCTGAGTTAAGTATATATGATTCCTCAGCTGAGAAATGATCCTGTAAATTTACAAATGGTGCTAATAGAAGAATACGATTAATGAAATACTTCTCTGTGCAGTTCAATACATGATATACTGATTCTGCTGTAGCACCAGCAATATTTTTATGGTTTCCTCCCAGTTATTCTGTTGTTTTTCATTACATATCCCTTGTTTTTTGCAGGGTACCTTAAGATGAAGGGAAGCGATACATATTCTTCCCCAAAGGTCATTCTACAAGATAGTATAAAGCTATATGAAAGTAACTTGATTCATGGCTCTTCTCAGACTTAATTCAAAAGGAGAAGTGCCATTAACATTAAGTATGTTCAATTATTTTAAAAATAAACATCTGACTTGAGTAAAACAAAACCATTTGTTCTAATATAATGAAAAGTGGACCAGTATAATGAAAGGTGGTTCTGGTTTGTTATGTTAATTGCAGCCAGAAGAAAGTATTACCAAGGAGGAAGATGCAGGAAATGCTCCTGTGGCAGCTGTGGAGGAAGGGACAGAAGCCATTCCTGCAATGGCCACAGAGGAAGCAACAGGAGTTGCTTCTGCAACAGCCACAGAGGAAGAGGCAGCAGTTTCTCTTGAAGCAGCCATGGATGAAAGGGCAGGAGTTGCATTTGCTATGACCACAGAAGAAGAAGCAACAGTTCCTGTTGCAGCAGCCACAGAGGAAGAGGTAGAGGTTGCTCCTGCAATGGCTATGGGGGAAGAAGCAGTAGTTGTTGCTGCTGCTGCAGCCACAGAGGAAGGGGCAGAAGTTGTTCCTGCAATGCCCACGGAGGAAGGGCCACCAGTTACCCCTTCAATGCCTCCAGAAGAAGAGCCACCAGTTGCTCCTTCAATGCCTACAGGAGAAGGAGCACCAGTTGTTTTTGCAATGCCCACAGAGGAAGGACCATCAGTTGTTCTTTCAGTACCTACGGAAGAAAGGCCACCAGTTGTTCCTTCAATGCCTACAAGGGAAGGAGTGCCAGCTATTCTTACAATGCCCATGGAGGAAGGGCCACCAGTTGTTCTTTCAGTACCCACGGAAGAAGGGCCACCAGTTGTTCCTTCAATGCCTACAGGGGAAGGAGTACCAGCTATTCTTACAATGCCCATGGAGGAAGGGCCACCAGTTGTTCCTGCAATGTTTGGGGAAGAGAGATTGGTGGGAAAGACCCTCAGCATGCCAATGCGAAACGTTTATGAATACAGAACATCCCCCATTGGGCAGGTCAGTGACACTGAATGAGGTTCATGGGTGTGAATTTACAGGTACATGTAATGTAATGCTGTAGCTCAGGGGTGTCCAGCTCTTTTTCACCAAGGGCCACATCAGCCTTGTGGTTGCCTTCAAAGGGTCATTTGTAATTGTAAGAATGTATGAATGTACCTACTCCTCAACGTATTGTTAAATAACCTGAGACACTTCATCCTCATCCACAAATCGACAAATACAAAATGAAATGCAAGCATAATCATGCAAGCGGACAGCCTATCCCAGCTGCTTGAGACTGTGTCGGAGTGGTCCCTGAGGTTCCCCAGACTTATCTTGGGGGATTTCAATATCCACGCTGATGCAGACTCTTGTTCATTAGCGGCTGTGGACCTAGTGTCTA